ATATATATAAAATAATCCCAACTCCACAGTCTAAGCTTCTAATTTAGAAAGCAACCAGGGAGAAGGATGGGAAACTTGTCAGAGCCAGAGCAACCCTAGCAAACACAGATAGTGACAGGAGGTTGACATCTTCCGGAATGCAACTGATTGGATCAAACCCACTGAAACTCCAGTGAACCCAAGTGACAAATATTCTTAGTGACAAAGCTCCAATTTAGGAGTCTCTCTTTCATCTTGTTTTCTTGTCACTACTCTTTCTCTTTCTTATTGCATCTCCTGGCTAAGGTTCGGAGTTGCACTATCTCTAATCTGAGCCTGGCATACTTTCAAATGCAAAAGCTCTGTATGAAGAGCTCAGACTAACCAAAAGTAACAAGAACTTGCTTCCCTGGGGTACATCTGACCCTTCTTTATGCCTGTTAAACTCCCCAAAACTCAAAAGAAAGGCACGTCACCATATGAGAATTATTATTATTATCCTACCTATTCCAGTGATGCGTATCCTGACACTGTTCCCATTTTACTTTCTTGGTTCATTCCCACCCATTCTTCCTTCCACCCTCCTCCTCTTCTTCCCCTCATGTCTGTACTTCCCCTGCCAACAGCTATAACAGCTCAGGCAGAAGTCTGTGTGACTCTGCTTTGTGATTAATGGCTCCCAGTTCTGACGACTGATTGCCTATGCCAGTTTTAATCACGGCAGCTTCATTTGCTCTTGAATCATCTGGAAATGGCACTTGTGGATCACTGTGTAACAACATGCAACAAGACAGGGAGTGGCAGAAGAATTCTCTACTGGTTGGCTTACCTATGTCTGAAATCTTTATTTCTGACAGAAGACAGGAAAGCAGGGAACAGAAGAAAGAATGAGGTGTTAGCAGCTCAGTTCGATGCATTATTAGCAGATTGAAAACTTGACAGTAACTGTATCATACAATGCAATAACAAATAAAGACTTAGCTGGAATGACACTGATATATTTTATATTGGATATTACTTGGCAGTGAGCTCACTTATGTACCGCTGCATATCACAAAGGAAGTGTGATCTCACCTGCTTGGAGTTACTCACTTAGGCAAGAGATAGGACCAGGCAGACTGGGTCATTCAGAGCGGTACTGAGCTAAATATATGTAGATGCAGATATCTTTACAGGTTTTTCCACTCAGTCAAAGCAATACCTTGTGTGTGACAAAGGTAACTGAACAGTTATGGGTGGCAGCTCATTGCCATAACCTCATGAACTAGAGCCCAAACGACTGAACTAATGCTGAGCTGGACATTTCTCATGCGTCTATTACACACCCATCTGCTGTTATTTATAAGCCACAGCGCATTTGCTTTCCTCTCCACAACAGAACACTACACTTAAAAGATGCCCCCCCTCAAATAAAACACAACACCCAAACAGTGAGGGTGTAAATCTCCAAGGAGATGCTGATTTGAGAAGACACAAGCAAACTCCACTTGGTCCAAAAGCAATGGCTTTCCTCCATAGCCTAGTCAGCTGGCATCTGAACCCACTTAGTTCATAGCACACCAGAGTGAAGAAATGTTTATTAGATCCAGTAACCTAAGTGTTTGCACAGATGAAGCAGCAATCGTTCCAGCAGATTTAACTCTGGAGTACATTTCACTCTGTGGCTCTACACAAAAGGCAGCAAGGCCACTCTGTCAAGGCTTCCAGCTTTCTCCTTCCCAACGAGGAAATGCTCTGCAAAACCTCCGCTGAGTCTGGTATTTCCACTGACAATGAAACAGGGATTGCATTCTCAAAACTATACTTCTGGGAATGAGATATTAATCCCACTCAGTTGCACTAGGATTTGGGCCCCAAATCACCTAGGCTTTTCTGAAAATCTCACCTTTGGTCATTAAAATAACTTTCTGGCACTGGAAGAATATTACATTCTTTAACGTGGACCAGGTCTGAAGATTTATTGCAGCTTCCCACCTTACAAACGTGAGAGAAATGATGTTCCTATATATCACAACGGAATAGCAAGAATCAGGTTCTTGATTGACTCAAAAGGTAAACATTTCACTGTGGGCTTCCTAACTCAGTGATGACTCCTGATTCCCTTATAGCCCTGTGACAAGCTATTCTGTATGTACCACCCTTGTGCTGACTGTCTGGACCTTGTTTTCTCATACACCATGATCTAAGACTCTGGTTCTGAGTGCCAAATAAGACCTGCAGCAAGGTCTAAAGACTCTGGAGTGTTTGTAAATGAGGGACTAGTGGGATCTTGCACCAATTTTTATTCAGATCAGCAATTTTCTTTTTACATGTGGCCTTGTGGAGCAAATGGAAATACAAAGCAATGCTGTATGGGACACTGCTGCTCTGGGAAGCTGTGTAGTAAGCTTCTACATGGCAGTCCTAGCAGAAAAGCAGCCTTACTTTTGTCCTTAGCAACCAGGACATTAAATGTGAGTAGAGCAGGGAGGTTCCTACTTTCTGGAACATTCTAATTTCCAGGCCAGGTCTTGAGATGCAAATGGGAACGTGAACCTTCCTACCATGCTAACCTCACATTGACCTCTCGGGCCCTTCAAGCAGAGAAGACTCATTCAGGAACACTCATTTAACTCTACTGACTTTCCTGGAGTCAGTCATGTCCAGCCACACAGAGTACAGAATCAGGCCCTGGTGCTTTGAAGTGGGTAATTGTATTTGTTGTGGAAATTATAGATAGTAAAAATATCCCCAGTGAAGTCAATTTGCAATTTTCAGTCACCATTTTCTTAGAACTTGTGATAAACCTTTATTTTTCCCTCTCCCTCCTTGTTTTTAATGGATGTTCCTTCCCCATCCTCCCTATTTCTCCTAATACATATATTTTCTCCTTTGTTATTTTGGGCTAAAAGGAGACACTTTGCTTCCTTTCAGATGATCCACCTATATTTCCATCCTGACACTGCTGTTCAGTTGGGAACTGAGGGGGGCTGATGAATTTGTTCCCATGAAACACAACTAGAAGACCCAGTCTGTGATTACCTCGAGTGATCATCCTGTCTTAATTACGAACGATCATCTGCCATGATTAACCTCTACATATCATAATCAGTGCTGTGCCCTTCCAAGTTTAGGTCATCTCTGGGGCTCATTGTTAATGTTAAGGATTCCCACTGGTCTCTAGCTACACAAAAGGCAGACTTGAACACAGTTTGATTTAGCAGCACAAAGATATGCCACTATTTTGGGGGTGTGATATATTTCTGTGTTTCCCTGGTGTAAATCAAAGTCAGCAGAGTTGCAGAAGAGGCAAATCTGGACAGCTTCCTGTTTTTCCATGGGGTTTCTTTAAGAGCTTTGCTCATTTTCCTTTTGGATACATAAGATTTCTGCAGAACTTAAGGGCATAATTATAATGAGCACATTCAGTAGAGCGTACCTCAGCTCCAGTATGTTGGTGACATTGCCAGAGGGAAAGATCCTTCGGATGTAGTTGAAATCTCCAACGTAAAGACTTCCATCAGACCCACATGTTAGGGCAACAGGAGCCAGGAGTTTGTTCCCATCTGCAAGACCATTGCAGCTTGGACAAGAGATGCTACGTCTGCGGCCGTTGCCCATAATGCTTCCGATTACAGGCGGCTGCTGGGAAATAAACTGGTTTTCCCCATTTCCTTTATGTAAGATGCCTAAGGAGAGAAAACAGTAATGAGGACATTAATGAGAGCCAGGGAAACTGAGACCAAAGGGAGCAGACACTGGCAATGCTGGATGCCAGAAGGGGAATTTGTCAAGTAGCAAAGGAGGTTTATCATCTTTCACAGTGTTATTATCAAATGAGGAGCCCCTTATCATACATTTTTGGCAGAACAAAAGTATTTTGGGAGAACAAGACTGTCATTAACATTGAAGGAAATACACTTTCCAGCATCTCATGAATTTTCACCTGCCCTTTCTGTCCCTGCTTGCCCTGTAATTTGGAGCTTACCAGGTAAAAAGAAATGACAAAGCTCATGGAAAGATAATGGACAGGAAGACCATGGTGCATCCTCTAGAGAAATGTTTCATCTGCAAAGCTTTGGAGAAGCTCTGCTGATGTTCCCTGTAAGTGTAGTGCTTTCAGCAGTGATGTGGGCTGAATTAGATGTCTGCACCCATACAACAAAGTGTTTCTGTCTTTCAAACATGTTCTGATCAACTTCAGTCTTGAGCAGCCTTCGAGGTCCCTGACACTTCCCATCTTCCCTCATGTCCCGTGAAGCTTCTCATTTCTACAAGTGCACTTGCACATTGAAGGGTGTGTCTGGGTTGATTTATGCTCACTGTAGGTAGGTCCAATCTGAATAGGCTCCCCTTTGTTATCTTAGGAATACTTTCCTTGTTATACCCTTCTTTTAAGACACTGCAAAGTTGGACATGCCAAAATTCAACTACTTCGTAATGGCCAGCTTCTTTCACATTTACATACACCAAATTGCTTCTAAATGTAGGATATTAGAAATAATATATTAGGAAAATGTATGAGAGGGTACATGTATTGGTCAGGTTTCCTTCCTTTCCATCTCTTGAATTCTTAGTGATAAAAAGCAACTAGGCCTTCTAATAGTGCATACTTCCTGTGACGTGTTATGGACAACCTACCACTTTGTATGTTGAGGGCATGGTGTTTATCCAGGGACCATCCTCCAAGTTTGGAAGCATCAATTTCATAACCCTGAAGCACAGCTGTCCTCTTCTCCCACAGGATCAAGTCAGGACAGGATTCATACTCATAACCTACTGAAACTAGGAACAAAAGAGGAACAAAAGACCCCCCCCAGATTAGTAACCCAGAAATGTACAGTTTCAGCACACACAGAGTTTCAACTGAGAAGGGGTAAGAGCATTTCTACAGGCAACTGCAAATTCCATTTAAATGTCCTCACCATAACGCAGAGTCCTAATAGTTTTCCCTTTAAAGGCCATCCTGCATTTAAAAAGGTCAATGCAGTTGCAGGTGTTGGGCAAATGTGTTAAATATTTGAAAGGCACTGTTTTAAAGACATATTTGAAAACAATGAGTATTCCAGAGTGCAAACCACTGCTGGACTCTTAAGTGGAGCATTTTACTCCTATCTACTATCTTTGATCAAAGACTGCATGTCAGGAACTTGCTAAATTCTATGTCCTTTCTTAGAAAGTAGACTTATCCAAATGATGCATGAGGCAGCAAGTCCCTCAGAGGCAGTAGTCTTAGACCAGGCTGACTTGTGGTCATTGTCACTGTCAATAGCATTTGCTTGCCATGATGTCTAATCAGAACCTATAAAGAACACACTGGAGTTAAGAGTAAGAAGATGTCAGAAAAAGGAAAATCATGTTTTTGACAGAATAATGACTTTATGATTTTCTCAGAAGAAGCAGGACCAGTCTCATTGATCTGCTTTTCTTCTGCCCTACCTCATCTTTTCAGCGCTAACAAGTGAAGCAGAGCAGAACTGCAAGTCCTACACAATGAAAAGCAATTACGTAGCTCATTTTTTTTACTAGATAAAAATAAAGGTCTGATTTTACAAGTTTCTCAGCCTCCTTGAAAAGTGCTGAGCTCTGAGTGAACTTAGGATCCCTCATCAAATACAGCCTTTGGCAGCATCAAACAGTATCAGAGGAAGATGTAATTTAGGAAACTAAGGCTTGATATTTTCCACTGTTCTAGAGGTGGAAATCACTGAAAGCCTGAATGCTGATGTCCTCAGACCTGGTTGAGTATTCTGGGGCTGCAGAGCTACATCATGGGACACTCCAGGACCCACTGCTGACATGTAAACATAGCTTTTCAGGACACACTACCAGGACATGTTTCCCACTGTGGACTCCAAACTCGGTAAGGCTCAGCAGGTTGTATCATCCAGCCTGCATAGGGTAGCTGAGCCTGAGTGAGAGGAAGGCATTCATTCTTCCTCCTAGAAAACAAGCACTCTACAGCTCCTCTAAAAGGACTTATCTTGCAGCTGGGCTATGAAGCACCAGTGAACTACCCTTCTGTCAACAAGAGGCCTCATTTGGGATCTCTCCCACTTTGCTGGTATCATTTCCTTGGCACTCTGAAAGTTCTAGTCTTTGAAGGCCCGTAACTGAATGTCCTTTGATTGTTGATCAGATGGGAAGCAATCACTGCAGAGCTGCATCATCTCTGCTCACTGTACTCAAAGTACACTCTTCTCGCCATCACCATCACACAGGGGTCACTGGGTGAGGTCTGAGATGGAAGTAGGAAGAGGAATGAAGTGTGCCTGCATTCATCCACAGCAAAGCTTCCTGCCTCACCATGGACTTCAGCTGGTGCCCCTGCAGAATGAGTGCCATGGGCCACAGTGCTTGGTACTGAGGCTGTGGCACATTAAATATGGAGAGCCTTCCTACTCGCTGCCTTGCAGCTTCTGACAGTCTTTTGCAGATGTAAATGAATGTACAAGGTATGAGAAGAACATCATGCCCCAGTTTGGGATGGTGCTCTTGAACGGGTGACGAAGGGGGAACTAAGATTAGAGCAATCCTGAAGGTCAGGCACAAGAAGGAGTGGAGACAGGGCTCAGCTCTAGGCATTTCTTCCAAAGCAGTGCTGACAGCTTTCAGCTATAGGTGACAGGTAGCCACATGCATCTAGTCCCAGTTCATTCCTTCTGTATGAATATGACGGCAGCAGCTCAGGATGTATGTGCTGGGCCACGAGCCAGAGAAGTATTCATCTGTTGGGGAAATGTGTGCTGTCTGAGCAGCTGGGCCCAGTCCTCTCCAAGGAAGCAGCAGTGAGCCAGCAGGGACCACTTTATGTGTTAGCAGTTGGACCATACTGACCTGACAGATTTAAAGCTGGCCAGGGACATCAAGGCAAGCTTCTATAGGTATATTGGTAATAAAAAAGAAGACAAGGGAAAATGTGGGCCCTGTCTGGAAGGAAACAGGAGACCTGGTTACCCAGGATATGGAGAAGCCTGAGGTACTCAACAACATTTTTGCCTTGGTCTTCACTAGCAAATGCACCCAAGTCCCAGAAGGCAAAGGCAGGGACTGGAAGAATGAAGAACTGCCCGCTGTATGAGACCAGGTTCAAGACAATCTCAGGGAACCTGAAGGTGCAACAAGTCCATGAGACCTGACAAGATGCATCTGCAGGTCCTGAGGGAGCTGGCATTTACAGCTGCCCAGGCTTAGACTAGATTTAAAGAAGGAGTTCTTCCTTTTGAGGGTGCTGAGGCGCTGGCACAGGGTGCCCAGAGAAGCTGTGGCTGCCCCATCCCTGGCAGTGTTCAAGGCCAGGTTGGACACAGGGGCTTGGAGCAACCTGCTCTAGTGGAAGGTGTCCCTGCCCGGGGCAGGGGTTGGAGCTGGATGAGCTTTAAGGTCAACACAAACCAGTCTGATTCTATCATTTAGGACAAGGTCTGTGTATTGCCACATAGCTGCTTTTAAAAAGAGCACAAGCCCTGGGGTCACTTACCAAAGGCTTCTGAGAGCCCATACACCTTCTGGCTGTAGACGTCTGTCTTGTCCCAGATGAAGTAATAGGACAAGTCTGGTGCTGCTGCAAACCACTTTCTGAAGAGGCGTCCCTCGACGGCCACCATGAGGTGGACTTTCATGAGGTTGAAGGGGATGGTGGGGTGGGTCATGCTGATCCTCAGGACTGATTTGTAGCCAGCTGTGCGGCTGCTCAGGTAACTCACTTTAATTTTACTACCGGAAACATTAATCTCCTCCTGTAGAGCCTGTGGAAAACCAATCCAGGAGGTGTTAAATCAGCAGCGAGCAGACAGGAAAAGGCAGTGAAGCTGTAATTTATCAAACACACCTTTGTAAAAGCTCTGTAAGACACGTCTAAAAAAGCACCCATATAGGCATCAAGTATGAAAACATTATGTAATTTATAGGATTAGTTGTGGAAGCAAGGAATGCCCCACTCTTTCTCCATCTCTCTTACACAAGACAACAGGAGACCAAAGTATAATGTTAGTGTTTACTATAGGACTCACTGTCCGAAGGAGTCCCAGCACCCATGGTGAAAGGAGGTTTGAGTCTGAGATTATTCCAGCCCATCAATTTAGCTCCCGTTTTCTGTCTTATTCTTCTAGGTTTCTATGACTGCAATTTTTTGTCTCCTGGATTCTTCTTCCCCGTAAAATATCAAGCCCTACTTGGCCTGTCTCCTTATGGATGTTCCCTGGCCCAGATCATAACCTGACATTGTCTCCATGTCATTGGTTAATCTTGCTTCCACCCTCTCTCCTTGGACTTACCCATCTCTCCTTCCTTGAAACTGCTCCTCTCCTGCATCACCTCTGACCCTCTCTGCCTGATCTACCTCCAGCCTTTTCCTGTGTCCTGATCATTACTTCTTTTACCTCTTATTTGCTCCTGCTTATAAAATTATAGAATGGTTTGGGTTGGAAAGGACGTTAAGATCACCCAGTTCCAACTCCCTGCCATGGGCAGGGACACCTCACACTAGACCATGTCACCCAAGGCTCTGTCCAACCTGACCTTGAACACTGCCAGGGATGGAGCACTGACAACTTCCTTGGGCAACCCATTCCAGCGCCTCAGCACCCTCACAGTAAAGAGCTTCTTCCTTATATCTAACCTGAACTTCCCCTGTTTCAGTTTAAACCCATGACCCCTTGTCCGACCACTCCAGTCCCTGATGAAGAGACCCTCTCTGACATCTTGGTCCCTGCTTGAAATTCCTTCCCATTGACCTGCGTGATGAAGCCTGACCTACCACCATCAACCCCTTTCCTGTCTCTTGCATTGTTGCTTCTCTTCCTTTTCCAAAATTCTCTATATTCTAGATGAGCTGCTTCGTTTTCCCCTCCAGCCATGACTGTGGGTATTTCAAACTGATTGGGACAGTTATCTCACAGGTCTCTATTCCAGTACAAAGTTTCACAAAAGACTGGAGAAACAGCAGGGAAAGTTCTGTCTGCCTCTATTCTGCTTTGAGAACAGAGAAGTCTCAGAAAAGATCGGATTCTCAGCTAATTTACTTGCTAAAGTATAACCAGATCTTAAAACTTCTTACATTTTTAGCCGGAACGATGCAGGGAAACTTTCTGGAAGTCATCCCTGACACCATGCAAAACACTGATAAAAAAGGGCATTTCTTTCTTAAGTCTTAGGAGGAAAATAATTAGTTGTCACTTCCCAGAAAATGTCACTCTCAGCCAAGCACCCAGCATGGGCATTTTCAGCACAAGACAGCAACCTTTGGCAAAGTTTGAGAGATGAAGGTAGAAGCTTTGCAGTGAGTGGCAAAGGAAAACGTGGTCTAATAGGATGTGTCGGAAGGTTACAGCTGGCACTGTTCTTTCCTGCACTACTTCTGAGATACTTCAGTGTGCTGGACCCTAAATGAGCTGTGAAAATACTTCCCTAGCAATAAACAGCTTCCATAATATTAAGGGCATGGAGGCTTGAAGGCGGGTGGGTCAAGAGATTCACATCCTGGTGTTATCCAAGCTACATGGTGCCTATATTCAACTCCTCCTACAAGGGACCAGCAAACTGCCCTGGCATGACAAGTTGCTCGTCTCTTACAGGTTTTGTGGTTAGTGTTATCAATAATGACAAATCTTGTTATCTGCCCCCTGAAAAGACCTCTTCAAAGCTATTACCCAAGCGACAACACTTGTTCAAGTGATAACTTACAGCCTTGGAGTGTTGCAGCACTTGACAAACGGACACATCCAGAAGTAAAAGTGCTGTTCCACTGTGCTCATAAATATTTATTTCCTCTAATGCAGCCTTTTCAATTTACATATCTCAGTGCTTAGGAGGCTCCAAAATGACAGAACTGGGAAAAATCTAGGATTTTTGGTGTATTTTATGAGCTCAGCAACAAGCTGGGCTGGGACCAGCCTCAACTAGAGACCAGCTGAGCTGAGCTGCAGTAAAGGTGGTCCCTTGTATCAAATCTGTCTTCATATGTAATCCTTCTAGGAAAGAGTCAGGCAGAAATAATTGTCATGGAATTACTATTTGCAATGTCTGGTTCCAATCCCTGTCAGAAATAATTATTCCTTTCTGTCATGATCTGTCTCTGCTGTCTGCTATTCCAAAGGAAGGGTCAGCACTGTGGTACCAAGGCGCTGAGCAGCACAAGGAGCTGTGTTTAAAGGCTTGAAGAGAGGATTCAAATGGTAATTCAGATTATCCAAAATACATTTGTAGCTTGTAAGTAGTGATAAACTAGCAACAAAGCAGGGCATTGGTGGGGGGAGTATAATCCAGAAGGACGTTGGGAGAAGAGGGGAAAAATAAGCTTTAATATACTCTGAGTGCACCAAAAAGTAACAACAGCTGAATTGCGTCCTTATTTCTACTTGATTATTGCTTCCGGGAGGAAGCAGAGACAGGACATCTGACCCAAACTGGCCAAAGGGGTATTCCATACCACAGCACGTCATGCCCAGTATATAAACTGGGGGGAGTTTGCCGGAAGGCCCAGATCGCTGCTCAGGTCGGGCTGGGTATCGGTCGGCGGGTGGTGAGCGGTTGTGTCCTCTCCCCTTGTTATTTCCCTTATCATTATTATTGGTAGCAACAGGGGTTTGTATTATACCTTAGTTACTGGAGTGCTGTTATCTCAACCCGTGGGAGTTACATTCCTCTGATTCTCCTCCCCATCCCTCTGGCAGGGGGGGGAGGAAGAAGACGGGGAATGAGTGAGCGGCTGCGTGGTTCCGAGTTACCGGCTGGGCTTAAACCAAGACAGTTCTTTGTGGCACCCAATGTGGCCTTTCAGAGTAAAGTAAATAGAGGTCAGATTTTTCTGCTGTGGAAGAAGGGATGCTATAGCATCAGTGGCATTAACAGCCATAGGAAGGGAAAAGAGACATCTGGATGCTGCCATATTGGCACTGGTGGAATAGAGGGAAGTAGGCAAGTAAGTATTATCTACATTTACTCTGCAGGTGTAGTAATTTCTGCTGCTCACCATCTTTACTGACATTGCCACTTGATATATTATGATGTGATGTTAACTTTTAAACCAAACAGGGGAAGAACAGGTAGTTGGCACCATTCACATAATTACCTTTTCCTAAGCAAACAATATGATTATAGGCAGCTTACAGCCTTTCATAGGGACCCCATGTGTCTGGGGTCCTGGTGAAAGATAAAGGCTCTTGGAATTCATTTAAGCCTAACCAATACAACCTCTAAAAGCAGCCCAGCCACCAGGCTGGTCAGGCAGAAGAACTGGTTCTTCAGGCTTACTAGGGATTTTCACAGTTTAGCAATTTCCAGGTCCCCTTCACTCCTGGGTCTTGATCTATGTTTGTGCTAGTAGCAATTCTTCCACTCTTTGCATGAGACAATGTAGAAAACCTTATTTCTGTGTGCTGGGTTACTCATTTGTCTTACAGTTACTCTTCACTTGCCAGCAGACAAGGCAAGGAACACTCAATCTTTCTCTTCTAACACGATGCTCAGAAGGAATACTGAGACAGAAAAGCATTTAGGGTCTGATTCAGTGGCCTTAACACAGACATATAGTGCTTTCGAGATGTTCTGTGGCATCTAAAACCTCTGCAAGAGGATGACAGATCTGACATGGGCCTTCTTGAGATCTCTGCCTTTCTGAAACTACAGCTGAAGGCCTAAAGGGACACTTCAGGGCATCTTAAACGGCACCAAATCTGTCTTTAGGCACCCGAATCAAACACATAAAATGTATTATTTTGTCTTTTGAATGCATCCAAGTAGAGGACACTGCACCTATTTGCTGGAGCTCACGGAGCTCCTATCTGCCCACTTGTCAAAACCTCTTTCCCAGCCCTGCCATCCACTTGGCACCTCCTCCCACCCCTGTGCTCACACCTTTTGCATTTAACATTTCACCACTGAGAACTGCCTATTATAAAATGCAGCTGCAGAAACTGTTATAGAGTCACAGAATCCCAGACTGGTTTGTGTTGGAAGGAACCTTTAACCTCACCTAGTTCCAACCGCTGCCACAGGCAGGGGCACCTTCCACTAGAGCAGGTTGCTCCAAGCCCCTGTGTTCAACCTGGCCTTGAACACTGCCAGGGAAGGTCATATGGGTTATTTTTTATTGCATGTATATCCAGTTTAGGAATGAAAAGTAATCCATTTATGGACTGAAGTACAGTCAGGACTCTGCTGTAAGTCAGATTCTGTTGTATACTCCTACACCACAAACTCTGTTAATATTCAGCTGCCAATATTGAGGTCCAATACTGCTTTATAAGTCTTAGCGCTATCATTTGGCATGTGGGAAAAGTACTGTTGATCATACATGGGACTCCTTACCTAAACTTGGTTAGGAGTCTCCTCTGAACTACTCTTCTAGGGCTCTTCATGGCAAGCAGGCAGAGACAGGCTCTTCAGAAGGTTGGTGTGGCCATGTTAACTTAAGAGTGGGATTCAATCCAGTTTAAGGCATCTAAATTTAGATGTTGGCATGTAAGTGTTTGAAGTGAGGTAGGCATGTAAGCATCAATTATAGTCAATGGAGATCTAACTGATACCATCAGTGGGAACCAGACACCTTCAGGGTGGTCAGCTTAATTGGTCTGTAGGCTCCATTAATGATATTGATTAGATTTCTGTCAGCTATAATGGGAGCTTGGACACCTAGCATACAACCAGATGACTATGCATGAACATCTTCTTTAGGTGCCATAGTGTCAAAATTACTCCCATTAGGTCTTAATTAGACTCCATAACTACAGGTGTCTGGTGCAATTTGGGATGTCCAAGTTATCTGACATTCACAAGGGTCTGGCAGATATAATGCTGGACACTGATAGAGGAATCATTCTGGGTTGGCAGTTGGAGGCCAAGCAGGGTATCTGCAGGGCATTTCAAATGGCACTAAACATCTATGATGAAGGTGGTGAGGCACTGGCACAGGTTGGATGCTCCATCCCTGGCAGTGCTCAAGGCCAGGCTGGATGGGGCTTGGAGCAACCTGCTCTAGTGGAAGATTGGACCGTGGCAACCCCCACCATAGCAGGGGGTTGGAACTGGATGAGCTTTATGGTCCCTTCCAACCCAGACCATTCTGGGATTCTAAGATCTATAGCCATAGCCATGAAACTATCAAACCATTGCTTACGATCTACATCCCTGGCTGCTTTCACAACAATAGGCACACACACACTCTTAGTGAAGAGGAGCTTTAGAATGTTTTAGTTCAATAGATATAATTAAGTCAATCTCACCCATATCCTACTAAATAATGAGTGAGGTTAGTATTATAGCTGCACTGTATCAGATACTTGCTTCTTTCCCAGGCAGCGCTGACCATTACCTTCCATGCTGTTTGTTGGTTTAGGAAAAGAAAGAGATGTGGAAATTGAACAATTGCAGTCTGATGGACTTCACAAGATACATGACTTTATTATGCTGGGACAAACCCAGTGACTGTAATTGGAATTCAGTGTGGGAAGGGAGCACAAGATTTGGTTCAGAGGGAAAGGTAAGGAGACAACTAGCTTTACGTGTTGCTGGGTTCAGCAACCTGGTATATTAAAATTGGAAGATGCAAAGTTGCTTCTTTCCTTATTAATGCTACTATGACCCCAATGGAGTCAAGCAGGAAGCACACAATTTGTCCCTACAGTTATTATTATTTCTGCCTTGGCAGGCTACTACTTGTTACTAAAAGCAATACCCAGGACATGGTCCATCCCTGGCAGTGTTCAAGGCCAGGTTGGACACAGGGGCTTGGAGCAGCCTGGTCTAGTGGAAGGTGTCCCTGCCCATGGCAGGGGGTTGGAACTGGATGAGCGTAAAGTCCTTTCCACCCAAATCATTCTGTCATTCTATGAGTCTGTGACTCTTTGACATGCTGAATACTGGTGTCTACAACCCAGGGAACAACATGCCAAAAAAAAAGGAAAGCTTAAATGCTGTTGAATCCATGTATTTCAACACAGGGAGTGTTTTTAAGGAAAATGGATAATTCATTTGTTTGTCCTATTCAGTTTAAAACCCACCTTCCCATTTGGCAAAATACTTTGACTCCACAGCAGGTTGTTAGAAGAACTTCACCTGACTCACGCTTCCTTAAAAAAGGAAAAGGGGGACGAGGAATTAAAAGTAACCCTCTTGCTTTGCTCCCAAATGTCATGAAATGCAGTCAGACCCCGGGTGCTCCACAGCCTGGCTGTTGGCCAGCCATCTGCTGGCTGATTGCTCAGCTCAGCAGCTTTGGAGAGTGAGGGGATTGCCTTCAAACCCTGAGAAAGTTCACACCCGATACTCCACCACTGAGGTCTGTAATGCCCAGTGAGTGAAATTAGCTCCCCAACAGAAGAAAGGCATTAGAGTGTAAGCGACCCATAAGCCATAAGGCTGTCCAAAGGCTTGTTATGGGTCAGATGAGGGTCCCAGCCCACCTCCTGTGGATGAGAGGTGAAAGCAAAGCAGAGCCAAACAAGGTTTTTGCTCTTGGCCACAGTGTTTTACTTCCATCTCTGAGGGATAAGGGAAAATAAACCTCCTGTGTGTGCTTGTGAGTGAGTGCTCCTGGCAAACATCTGAAAAACAGTGCAACAAACATGGAATGCTTTTTAGGAAAGCAGGGGAATAGTTGCGTTTGTTTTGTTCAAAGCAAGCAAAAGAAGAACAGAAAGGAGTCATTTTCTCCTCGGTTCAGATGGTTCATACCTGGATTTCAGGAACAATAGGACCTTTCTCCGAGCAGGAACTTGCAAAAGCTGTCAGTGGAGATGGGGAGACCACAGGGTTGGGTCGGGCGAAGTTACTGAGGTCACAGCTTGGGATCTCATTCTCCTCGTGCCTCATGACGATGGTTTCCATCACGAAGAAGCGATCCCACGGCAGCCACAGCGTGTGCTCCTGGGTGATGAAGGGAGCCCGCTCGAAGTGCAGGATGATGGAGATCCCACCAATGGTCACAAGATCAAAGCTGTTTTAGGAGAGAGAATAGGAAGTTAGTGCAAGCAGCATCCCATCTGCCTGTAACAATTCTCTAGCAAGGATCCCGAGGAAAATCACTGCAAGAAACATTATCAGCCACAGTTTACAAGCCTAAAACCTACAGCCCACAGGAGCTTTCGTTGAGTAAGAGCAAGTGGAAGAGGCAGGAGTACAAACTCAGCTTCTTTGCCTGTTGTCTTCATGTAGATTAAAACCATACCCATCCCTTTTTTTAGAGACAAATGTTTATCTTTGTTAGTGCTTTTCTGGTGTTATTCAACCCTACATTTTCTTTTCTTCTTTCTTTTTAAAGTATTTATCATCCAAACCCAGTCACAGATTGGATCAATTCACATGATTAAGTAAACCATTTGGAAAGCGGTTTCTCTGACACACCACCATATAAATTGTCTTGGCATCACTGCTAACCTGAGTAATACCTAATGCAACCCAGGGAACATGTGGAGCCCAGTCATGGACTGAGCCTAGTGTACCAGGAACAGGGAAGAAACAAACACCATGCAGGCAGCTTCTGTACCACAGCACTCAGCGTAGTCTTTTGTGACTCTTAAGCAGTTAGAGCAGGGCAGATAACTCACTGCCTATGGTCTGCAACTTCACCCTATGCTACCTCCAGCCAAAGGGGCTTTTCTGCCTGTGTTAGTGTTGGATAATATATCAGACCTTCAGAGCGATGTGAAAGGATGTTACCTTGATAAGGAAAATATTCATCCCCTGGATGTAAAGATGTTGGGATAGAGGTTTGGATTTCTTCTTAGTTTTGCATTTAAACTCCACATCTTGCCAGAGATGGAGATTGTATGAATTACAAGATGTACCTACTATGTATAGACTCAAAAAGGAGGTGTTAACTGAGAAAGGAAGGGATTTCTCCACAATGTGAAGATCTCCGTTTTGCTGCTTTATTTTAATTCTCAGCATCTATTCAGTTGCAATTCCAAATGTGTGTTTCAGGCAAAGAAAGTTTTCCCATCCTTGCTTCTCACTTTCGATGCTTGGCGCTAATGTATGACAGTCACACAGCTTTGAAGCATGTGAACAGGCTCGCTGGCTTCAGCGGAGCCCCTCGTGTGCTGAAGTACTTCTCTGTGCATGAGAACTGGGATCGAAAAGCACTCTGACTGCCCCAAGCTAGGCTCAATGCACCTTGCAATCACAAGGTAAGAAAAAAGCTGAAAGAAGTATTTAAAGTCATTTTTAAATGAATTATGAAGCTTTCAGATCGGCTGCAAGAATCCCAAAGGAGCAACAATGGATCTGAACTATTTCTCAAACCCAAAAAATCTTTGGCAAACCATCATACAAGAACAACCTTTTTTTTTTTTATGGCTAAGAGACTGAAGAACCATTTAGCAAATGTAATTATGAAAAGCAAGTTATTCAGGAAACAATGTGAAATTGAGTCCATGGGAGGGAGTGGAAAGCATTTGAAAAAGCTAAAGACATGTTTATTCTATCACTCAAGTGGGGGCATCAGCTTCCCAGACCTATGGAGCTTGGCTTACAGCAGCCTGATGGAGGAACATGCTGGTCCTTGCCAGCAAAGCTGCTCAGCATTTGTACTTTGATGAGAACATTTTTAACAGTCAATTAGCATTTGGCAAGGCCTTCAGCTGGGAGGGAGAAGCTTGCTCTGCAGGAATCCGGGCACTGAAAGGGGCAATGGGAGGGAAGAAACAAACATTACAAACGATGCTCAACAAGTTTTTAGGCAAGTGGGAAGAGGGGTTTTTTTAGGTGGAAACGCCTCCGTTTCACTCCTTTGTGAGAGGTTCTTGGCTTCGTTGAGCTTGGGGCAGGAATGGGAACCTGCTGGGGGGGGTGGAGAATGACCTTGCATCTCCTGCATCCCCAAAGCAGGATGCAGAAGGGAAAGCACCACCTCCACGTCAGGCTCCAGCAGCTGTGAAAACAGACAGAGGGCAGTGATTTTTTAGAGCCTCTGTTGTTATGAGCCTGTTTTCCCAGAGTCACAGGGTGCAGCTTTGAAGTTACCTTGATGAACTGAAGGAAAGCTAAACCCCAAACCAAACAGAAACCCCTAAACTGAAAACACCTTCCTCCCAGCTTCCCTTAGTGAAATTTAATATAAAAAGAGCATCTTGGGATTGAAGGAATGAGATAACTTCATTTCTGGTTTTGCTGCTGATCTCTGATGTCTTTTTTATCACTCTGAAACAAATCACACTTGTTGTACAGTCATATTGTTCTGTTTTGCTTAAAAGACTCTGGAGAGACAGGCCAAAGAATGAGATTCTGTATTTATTGACAAAGCAGGCTCAAAGAAAAACACCCCACAGGAAAGTGTAACCCTTTCTCATCTCCTTGCTCTGGAAGCTCATGGATTTGGTCTTTCTGAGTTCCAGCATGTGATGGCAGACACCCGACACTGAAAGAGCCTGGAGACTTCCCTGCTGTTAACAACACTGTGCCTACAGCGATGGGATACCGAGGATTTGCAGCCTTTATAAACTACCAAATTTAATTCAAATTTGAGTCAAACTGAATCAAATTTGAATCTTTATTTAAAAATACGGTTTATAACCCAGTATGGATACTTTGATCTACCTACTGACTTTGCTTTACAGAGAAATGCATACAACAGAGTGGTTTGAGAGCTGTTATTTTACCTTCGTGCCTTCTTAATCTGGCAAAAGGCAGTAATTAGGCTAAAACCACGTGCAAGCCTTGAAGTTATCAAAGCTTAGACTAAGTAATATGACTTAAATGGGACCAGGATTAGAGGCTCTTTGCGAGTACTGTAATAGGAGCGAAATCTACTTGCAGAGAGCTGGAACGAGCTGAATCCACTTACAGGGGTGAAAAATTCAGTTCACTGTAATTCTAAACCTGAAATTTGACTTGTCATGCTCATTTTGAAACTTGCTCATGCCAAAAAGACCCACCCCAAAACCCCAAACCTGAAGCAACAAAATTAGCTTAGGAACCAATCTGGCTAAATCAGTACAGTCCTGTCTTTAAACTCCCTTACTTTAAAACCACACTTACTGCCCTGCTATCAGTGAACTGATTTGCTAAATCAATTTAAGGCAACTCAGCACGTTTTCAAGAACAGATATTCCTACAGTGAATATGCCAGATAATAAAGCCAGTGAGTTTTATGCAGTTCTCTCATAACCCTTGGAACAAGGTATCTGCTTGCATATGTGCTCCCATTTTTCCTCCAAACCAGAATGACACTGAAGACGATCCAGGTGACCTGAAGTGACCGTGCACTGCTATGGACTGGGGATGCATGGAGTCTGCTGCTGTAGCTCAAGAGAAACTCCTTCTTGCTTAAGAGCATTCACTTCTTAAAACAAAGTGACTCGATCACATGAAAACTGCGCTGTGCAAAAGCTGATGAGAAGTCATGCCCTATTCAGAAAATTAACTGAAACCCATCAAAATGCGTAACAGAAATTGGAACAGCAATAATTCTATTCATGATTTTGAAAGTGCTTTACAAATACTATTTAATAAATACCGTAACAATCAATAAGGAAGACAAGTAAGTGTTATCTCCCTTTCGCAGCCTGGTTGGCTGGCCTAGGAGGGTTAAGAGATGCATCTAATGCTAGCCACTACATCAGTAGGATTAGAAATAAGGGATGTTGACTTCCTTTCCTGCCCTGACAGTTTTAGTGTGAATGCTCTTAAATACTTGAAGGCAATTTTTAGAAGACCTCACCACTGAGGAAGTAGCTGGATTTTGGTGTTCTTTAAGAGAAGGGCTTTTGCTTGTCCGTTTATTACCTCCAGAATACACATCACTATGTACTCAGAGGTAATAATTCCAGACTCAGCACTGCAAGTAGACAATTTGTTGGACGTTGGTCATGCACCAGATGTGCACAGGGACTCTGCAGAAGCAGACTGGTTGGAGAAGAAGGTGAATAAAGTGAGCTGACACCCCGCAGTCTGGGGTTAGACTGACCACCAGCAGCTGCTGACAGAAATCCCAGCTTTGGGATAAATCCCTCTTGGTTGCAGATTCCCTGCTTTAAGACAGCTGATCTCTGTCATTTTTATTATTTGGAGCTGAGTGTCTTTTGGGGACTGAGTCAGCGAACTGCAGCACTGAAGCTCCTTGAAACTAATTGAACTTCTGGAGGCTGGCAGCCAGCCCTGAGGAACCACCAGTCCGCTGAAGATTGGTGGAGTATACAGATGCTCCAGCTGCATCGCTTCCTGCCCCAGGTCCTCTGCTCAGCTGGAGGCTGTGAAAGACGTGGCGTGGAAGAAACATCCCTAGCTTGAAGTGTCAGTAGAAGTATAGAATCATAGAATCCCAGACTGGTTTGGGTTGGAAGGGACCTTAAAGCTCATCCAGTTCCAAACCCCTGCCACGGGCAGGGACACCTTCCACTAGAGCAGGTTGCTCCAAGCCCCTGTGTCCAACCTGGCCTTGAACACTGCCAGGGATGGGGCAGCCACAGCTTCGCTGGGCACCCTGTGCCAGCGCCTCAGCACCCTCCCAGGGAAGAGCTTCTGCCTCAGAGCTCATCCCAATCTCCCCTCTGGCAGGTTCAAGCCATTCCCCTTGTTCTGTCCCTACATCCCTTGTCCAAAGCCCCTCTCCAGGTCTCCTGGAGCCCCTTTAGGCCCTGGAGCTGCTCTAAGGTGTCCCCTTCAGGAGCCTTCTCTTCTCCAGCTGACCCAGCCCAGCTCTCTCAGCCTGGCTCCAGAGCAGAGCTGCTCCTGCCCTCATGGAATCTCCATGGCCTCCTCTAGACTTGCTCCAAGAGGTCCACCTGAGGATGTGACTTTCACCACCCGAGAACTAGAAAGACAAAGGTCTAGAGCTTGGACACCAGTGCTCACTTCCCTGCTCTGTCCCCATTTAGCTTACTGGTAATGTTTACGATAAAGCCCCTCTGTGCTAGGTACAGCACAACTGTGAAGCAAAGAGACATCCTTTTCCAACAGAGACCACCAGTTTTCCTGGGATGCCTCTTTATTACTCAGATTTCACTGTCATGTCATCCCAGAGGTGGAGCATCACTTGGAAATCCTCCCAGTCACCATCAGTAGGTGCAAACACCCCTGAGCATGAACAAGGCGACATTAAGAACACTTTGCTAGCACACGTTCCTCTCTTTCATTGTAATTCTATCATCTTTGGCCAAATCAAACCTTTAATGAAAGTCGTGGATCAGAGAGGTGCTAAAATCTTCAGTCCTCTCCCAAGCACTGGTGGTTTGTAGTCAATACATAGAGCATGTGCAGCTGGATCCCCTTATGTTCCAGTTTTTGTTCTTAAAAGAAAGGGAGCCAATTAGCACTGACAGACAAAAGATAAGATGAAAGACGTTCCCAATTTGCAATGCTTTTGTTTTGGTTGAACGTGATTGCTCAGATTCTAAGCACTTGCCTCGAACACAACCGTAATCTTAATGACTTCTTCCTAATCATTTCAATGTGAATTAGCAAGAATAGAGCTGTTGGGAGCAGAAGACATCTTTTCTTTACATGCATGAGCACTGCACTGCCCATTTGTTGGCTAAAGATGCTTGGTGTTATCACAAGGTTAATAATAATAATAATAATAAAGGCTATTTCAGTTGGAAGGGGCCTATAATGATCTGACCAGTTCAGGGCTGACCAAATTGAAACATGTTATTAAGGCCATTTTCCAAATGCCTCTTAGACAGGCTTGGAGAATAACTATCTCTCTAGGAAGCCTGTTCCAGTGTTTGGCCACCCTCTTGGTAAACAAATGCTTCCTCATGGCCAGTCTAAACCTCCTCTGGAGCAGCTTTATACCATTAGAATGTGTCCTATCACTGGGTGTCAGGCAGAAGAGCTCAGCAGCTCCCTCTCCCCTTCCCCTCCTCAGGAAGCTGTAGAGAGCAATAAGGTCACCCCTCAGCCCCTGTTTCTCCAAACTAGACAAGCCCAAAATCCTTAGCCACTCCCCATAGGACGTGCCTTCCAGCCCTTTCACCAGCTTTGTTGCCCACCTCTGGATGCATTCATGGACCTTCACATCCTTCTCAAACTGTGGGGCCCAGAACACAGCACTCCTGGTAAGGCCACACCAATGCTGAATACAGTGGGGAAAATCCCCTCTTTTGATCGCTTGGTTAAGCTGTGTTTGATGCACCCCAAGATGTGGTTTGCCCTCTTGGCTGCCAGGGTACGCTGCTGAGCCTGCTGCTGACCAGCACCCCTAGAACCCTTCCTGCAGTGCTGCTCTCCAGCCATTCCTCTCACTGTTTATACTTGTGAGTGGTGTTACTTCATCCTAGGTGCAGAATCTGGCCTTTTGACTTGTTAAATTGCATCTCTTTAGTCACAGTCCAATGCTGCAATCTACTCAGATCCCTCCATAAAGCCCTCAAGAGAGTCAACAGCACCTCCAGTTTGCTATCATCAGCAAACATGCTGATGGTGCATTCAACTCCTGCATCCAGACCTTTGATAAATATATTGAACAGAACTGGCCCTAGATGGAATCATGAGGTTCAAGGAACACCAGGAACAACACTCGTGACCAGTTGCCAGCCAGGTGTAGCCCCATAACAATAAATGCATCAACATCTTCAAAAGGGATCAGGAATAAACATGCTCTTGGAAGGAGTTTCTCTTTAGTGTTGATGGTAATAATGTTGTATCTGCTGCTTGAACACTGTAAATCCTATAAAGACACCCTACCTGCCATCTTGTCTGCTGATTGTGTATCCAAACAGAGGATTGTTGACGAAGCTGATGTTCACTCCAACAAGAGGGGTCCCATCTGCCGTCATCACCTGGCCTCGAATCACGCATGCATGTCTGCAAGAAGAAAAAAGATAAGAAACAGTGAGTTTTTTGTCAAATTCAGGTTTTTCCTCTATTTCTGTGGCTGGGAATTCCTATGGATTAGAAAGCCCAGGCCATTATGCCCTGGAAAGCTGGGAGACATGCTGTATATGTCTTGATGGTGGGATGCTGCTCTTGGAGACTTCCTCAGGAGTTGTGCAAGAACACTGGATACCTAAAGTGAGGTTTATTTTTATCCTACTCTTTAAAAGCAACTGTGGCAGCACATGCTTCATTAACTCTGGACTTCTGTAGGATTCACAACATAACACTGGAGTTTGCTACAACCAACTAAGTTTCAGAGTGTCTTGACAATACTGCCCTAATTAAAGGCAAAGCACATTTTAAAACCCAAGAGAACAGAAACCTACCAAGCACTGCATGGACATATTTAAGGCACAAAAGCACCCTGACCAAGGCTTGACAGCTCATTTCTTCCACACTTGGGCAAACCACGACAGATCGTTTGCCAGGTTCAGATAGCTTCCTACAAACTGCTTGGGGAACGCTGACAGGAAGGGCTTTTTCTTCCTGTCTTTTTCTTCCCAAATTTAGTAGGTTGCACTGTTTTATAGGCTACATCTATTCTAACTCCTCCATGCTCCATAACGTGCTCTTTTATCTAAGGATTTCAAGGATCTTTACAAACATTGATGAATACCGCAAGATAGGTATTTTATAGAGAGAGGAAATAAGGCACAGAGCGATTTTCAGCTGTCCAAGGCCAGTCAGGAAATCTACAGTAAAGCCAAAGACAGATTTTCTAGGTTCTTATTTCCAGACCTCTAAGTCATTGCTACATAGCTACCTCAGGAGCTTGCTACAAAGACAAAGCATCACATGCCTATGAGAGCATCAGAGCCCGATTTTTGGCTGAAGGTAACTATTTCTCTGAGCAACACCAGCAAATCATAGTGGCAGTGTGCCAACGGGAGCCAGTGAGCGATTTCCCTAACTGCTGTCCTGCTGGAGAGCAGGGATTGAAAACTAGTGTTTCTACAGGTGCAGGACCAGATCTCAGCTAGAGTAAATCATCCCACCTGCACTTGCTGTCTACCCACTTGAACTGAGAAATGTCACTTTACTGCTTCACCGAGGATGATACCCACAGTGGTTTGTAAAGATGGTTTCATAAACATGGATCATCAGGGAAAGATCAAGTTATTTTTTTATACTCCACCTAAACATCTGATATCATATAATGCAAGTATAATTTCTGTTTAATACTCTTTGTATATTCCACAGTAGAGAAAACCATTTGTCAGGATGCTTTAAACAAAACTCCTACTGATCTAAGCAGAGAGCTCCAATACTAATGAAACTTCTCAAAGCGTTACCAGAATGTGTCAGCAATTTAAACTGCCACCGGATTCATAGAATCACAGACTGGTTTGGGTTGAAGGGACCTTAAAGCTCTCCCAGTTCCAACCCCCTGCCATGGGCAGGGACACCTTCCACTAGAGCAGGTTGCTCCAAGCCCCTGTGTCCAGCCTGGCCTTGAACACTGCCAGGGATGGGGCAGCCACAGCTTCTCTGGGCACCCTGTGCCAGTGCCTCAGCACCCTCCCAGGGAAGAACTTCTTCCTTATATCCAACCAAAATGTCCCCTGCGTAAGTTAGAACCCATTCCTTGTCCTATCACTACAGTCCCTGATGAAGGCACTTTGAGCAACCTCGTCTAGTGGAAGTTCTCTCTGCCCATGGCAGAGTGGTTGGAACTAGAAGATCTTACGGTCCTGTCCAACCCTAATCATTCTGTGGTTCTATTCTATGATTCTATGTCCTTTTCCATCCTTAGAAAGACCCGAGGAGGGGTTTGAAACTGTCTTCTCTCAGCTTCTCATCAAATGGCTGCACATTTGTGAAAGAGAAGGAATCACAAGAAACAGTCCCATGCATGAGCGACTTGGTGTTCTGGATGACTGACACCATATTCAAGCCAACACTGGGACTATGGATGTTTTAAAATACTTGAGAGACCAGATCATACATTTGTGTGAACCCAAAAAGAACAGTTCCACCTGGTATTTTCTCCTTCCAAGAGTTAAAAGCAAGCAAAGTTAAAAAAACCACAACATGTTGCAGGCATCTCTCCTGCTGTCCTACACAAAACACATGTCCAACCAGTTGCAAACTTCTAAGTACTACTACAAGCACATTGGCCTGGACCCTCAGCTCACGTTAATGGAGGGGTGTGCTTTATATCAGCAAGCATCTGGTCTATTACATATCACAGACAACTATTTCCACAACAACAAGCACCAGCAGAAGATGGACAAACAAAGAGCTTCCTCTCGCCTTGGCAGCTGTAACAAATACATTTGAATTCCCACCTTCCAGGAAGAGACTCTGTTCCCATTCTAGATGGTGCTTCACAGCACTGTGCTCCAACTCCATTAGCACATCTACGTGCTCCCAAACTCAGAGGACACTGGCATCTCTTCTTAGTGAAGCAGCTCCTCAGCAAGCCCAGCTGCATCTGCCATCCCCCCGAGGACTATTAACAATAGCTTTATTTACACGCTATAAGGAAAGATGTTCCCACAAAGGGGACATCTCTCCCAAACCACAGTGATAAAACAAAGCTGGAGCAACATGCACAAATCTGAATTCAGTTAAAAGCAGGTGTGGTGGAAACTGGAGGAAAACCAGATTCTCCCTGATCAGAGTCTCAAATCTTCTCCTTCCCTGGGTGACAAAAGTTGCCCCATTTGGGAAAACGCAGTTAACACAGTGAGCTGGAAGCAGCTGGCTGCTCCAGTATCAACGTGTCCTTTCTGGAGGCAAGATCAACTATCCACAATGCACCAAGCCCCCCAGGAACCTGGTTAATGCTAATTTAGTCAGCCATTTCCTTCAGAAGACCTTGGTCTAAATGCAATTACTCTACAAAACAAGTGAAGTGGCACTGCTAAGATGCTCAGCTCCGCTAGAAGCTCTCCCAATACATTTACATAAAATTAGCTCTCATGTTAATAGAAGAGATTTATTCCATCAGTCCAGGCCTGCCAGTTCAGAGTGTTTTCTGCACTTGAACTGAATTTCTTGTAGCTGGAGCCTCATCTTCCCATTGAATTATTAACAGATTCCCCCTATTGCCTCCATTTTCAGGCCTTTTTTTAGGTTTGGTTTGGTTTCCTTCTCTATTTCCACATGAGGTTCTATGGACTCTTGCTTTAACATGGAAAGTAGTCTGCTTTTTTTCCTCTTCTTTAATTAGATTTTCCCTTTCTTTTATTTTCTTTTAATTTCTTCCATAAAAGCTTCCCTGAAAGACCAAACCATTGCCAAAATGCTATCTAGAATGCCACATGGCTTATCAGACAATTTTACACCACCACTTTGTGAAGTCATTCTTTATTCCCTAGAAAATGAAACTAAGTGTTCCTGGTAAGATCTGGGCCACAGCGGCAAAGCAGGCAGGGGTGCACTGATGCCTTTACGTTCCCATTGCTCAGATACAAAGGAAGTTTGACAGGCTGTCAACAAAATTCAAGCAGACAAAACCAGCTTTAGAACAGAAGCCAGAGGAGTAAATTCCCCAAAAGCCATTTCACATTATGGGAGCACATTAAAGACTTGTCTTTAATACTGACTCTGATCCAATGTGTCATAACTTAGACATTGGCCCTTTCAATGTTTCTTATTCATAGATGTTTTTGGTTGATACTGGGCTTGGCACTGGGAAACAGACTAAAATACTGCTTCTGCTAAATATTTTTCACTGGGAGAAGAAAACTCCATGCACCCTAAATCCCCTTTTGCTGCAAGAAATGTACATTCTTTCCATGGCTGAGGATAGGTACCATGGAAAATCTTGCCCCCATGAATTTCTGCAGCTCCTCAAAGTATTTCCACCATAACTCATTAACCTCCTTTAAAGGTTTCAGATGTGTGGAGATTGTTATCACAGCTGCTGAGCCATCCTCAGCCAAGTTATTCATAATAAATATTTTCATTTGCCACTATAAATCTCTGCATCTCTTTGAACTTACTTACCACTTCCATATTTTATTGGGGGGGTTATATATATATATATATATATAAAGTACATATATATATGGAATTTATCCTTCTGCTTTGGATAAAACTTCAACAGAGCACCACAGAGTGAAAATCTAGAAAGTTATTACTCATTGGCAAGAGCATTATTCATCAAATCAGGTGACCTTACTTCTGTTTCATCCTCTGCTACTGACTTTCTCCATGGCACTGGTCATGTCAGCTAGTCTGTATGTGTCTTTGTACTCCACCTGCAAAATAACAGTCGAAGCACATCCCCTCCTTACAGAGATATTAGGAGGATAATTGTTGTATCCTGCTAATCCCTTGGACAGGAGTTTTTACATCCTCATAGCACTTCACCTGTGATATTATGCTCAGACACTTTGCTGATAAGAGCCAATAAATACAGTCGTTTGTTACAAACACAATCTCATGGCTTTAGCTGCTGTGACCTTTTTGCTTGATAATAACAGGGGATGAAGCAAAATGTACCTCGTCCAGTTTGGGTTGAATGCTCCTGTCTCATGTTGAACAACCTCAGGGCAGAATGGTACTAGGACAGACAGAGAAACTGGTGGTGTGCCAGGTAAAAGCAAAGGGCATCATGATCAAACACATGGACACTGAGAGAATGCCTGAGCTGACAGATGAAGGACAAAAGCAGAGGAGGAAACAGAAGAACATACAGACCTTCCACTTCATTGCTTCTGTCAGTATTTTCCTCAAAACCTCTCTATAAAATAGCTCTGCCTCACTTGCCTCTTAACTGTGCAGAAAAAAACCTGCTGAGAGTCTTTCCTTGAACTGAGTCAATCCCTATCTGGCTTCTTTAGTCCAGTTTAGCTGTAGGGAACGCTTGAACTTGAAACCTACCTACTGATCCTCGCTGCCATATGAATTAAAGAAC